TGTTTTAGGTGGTTGGTTTTGTGGTAACCTGGCTTCACACCCTTACTTCACGAGGTCTAAAGGGAGTGCTGAAATGACATCGGAAAGTCACCTACCAATCGTTAACACCTCAGAGGATAGCCAAATCTCGATTATCCAGATGTCAGCGTTAGCAACTGCTGAAGAGAACAAGATACTGCACCTCCGCATGTTGGAAATGTGGGACGCTTGGTCTAATGGTAGGGAGCCGCCCAACGCAATACTTGGTTTTCTTGAGCTGATTCCCAGAACAAGTGGAACCTCCAATGTCCTTATAAACTACCCGGCACCCTATTCAGATACCGCACTATGTCAACCCATTTCACCGGAACGCCTTCTGAGGTTCCCCCCCAGGCACTATTTTCGGGAGTGTCTTCTACAATATTAACCGCACCACCAACCTCTGCTACGACACATCCAACAGTACCCCGGCCAGGTTTTGAGCCGTCCTCCTTTACTTTGCAAATACCCCTATTTCAACTGGACACGGCTCATGTCAGCCCAAACTCCTACCCTCAACACCCTCAGTATGAATCTTCCATGGAACAAGAGAAAACTGTGAAAAACCCCGAGCAAGAAGAGATGACTCGAAAAATGAAAAGCATCGAACAGAGTCTCAAGAACATACAGGGGTGAGTGGCCAGAAGAGTGTTTCCTATGCCGACCTGTGCATGTTTCCTCATGTTCATCTGCCCATCGGTTTTAAAACACCAAAATTTGAGAAGTATGACGGGCATGGAGACTCGATTGCCCATTTGAAAAGATACTATAATCAGCTAAGAGGAGCGGGCGGAAAGGAAGAGCTGTTGGTGGCTTACTTCGGAGAGAGCTTAACTGGAATCGCATCAAAATGGTATATGGACCAGGACATCTCCCACTGGCACATATGGGATGACTTGGCGCATGACTTCATTAGACAATTCTAGTACAATGTGGACATAGCTCCAGATAGAAACTCTTTGTCCAATATCAAAAAGAAGTCTTCGGAAAGCTTTCGAGAATACGCTATCAAATGGCGCGAGCAAGCGGCCAGGGTAAAACCCCCCATGGATAAGACCGAGATGGTTAGTGTCTTCCTGCAAGCCCAAGAGGCTGATTATTTCCAGAACATGATGTCCTCCATGGGCAAGCCATTTGCAGAAGCCATAAAGATTGGGAGATGGTGGAAAATGGTTTGAAGACGGGTCGCATCATGAGCCAGTCGGCTATAAGGGCCTCTTCTCAAGCAATCCAGAGTGGATCAGGGGGTGTAGCAAACCGGAAAAAGAAAGAAGAGGTAGCAATTATGGCCTCAAGTTCTAAGAATCCTCGTCAACCCCGAGGTTACTTTGGTTCCTCTTCTAGCACCCCGCAACATTACTACCCTTACCAAGATGCAGCATATGCCATGACTCCTCAGCCTTATGCAGTAATGAACGCTCAGCCATATGCCCGGCCGCAACAACATTACAATCAGAATCGAGCTCCACCTCCCAGAAATAACCATCCTTACTAAGCTCCATATAATCCTCCTCTACCACAAAATAATTTTCGATATAACACCCGTACCCGTGAACCACCCAGAAAAAGCAACTTCAGACCCATCGGTGAATCATATTCCAGCCTCTTCCCAAAATTCGTCCAAATGGGTTTGTTACAGCCCGTACCTCCAAACAGGCAAAACCCAGAGTTACCCTCCTACCGACCATGTACCCGATGCGCTTATCATTCAGGGGCAGAAGGGCACAACACTGAAGATTGTTGGACCCTTAAGAGAGCGGTCGAGAACCTGATAGAATAAAAGTGGGTAGTGTTAAGGGATGAAGAGGTCCCCAATATAACCAATAACCCTTTGCCAGCTCACAACAACAGGCCGGTTATTGGGATGATTTGTGAAGACAGAGAGTTCGACCCAGCTTTGAAAGCTATCATTGCTATTGCCGATGTTGAAAAGAAGCCCAAAGCGGCAGCAAAGCAAGCTAAGGATGAGAAGAAGAGCAACTCCATTCCTCAAAACACAGAAAAGGTTGTGGAAGCCAAGACAGGGGAAATACCTCCTAAAGATGTCGTTCTCTATGTTCCCAGAGCCCCCAGGAAGGAACAGCTTGTGTTGAGTCCACCCAAAAGGTTTGAGCAAAACAAGGTCACACTAAAGGTGCCACAGATGTACGTACCAAAGGGGACTTATGTGGTGTGGGGGCCGATAATTTCACCTAGGTTGACTGAGCCCGTAGTTATCAGTCGCGCACCACAGAATCCCATGAGGGACCCCACTGCTGTCCCCTGGAACTACAACAAAGAAGTGTTGACGTACAAAGGAAAAGAAATCTTGGGGGAAGTGAATGAAACAAACCCGTTTGAGAAGTAGCTCAATTTGGAAGAATTGAACAAAAACCAAGCAAAAGCGTTTTCCACTTACGAAGCCAGTCAGTGCTGAGGAGGCAGAGGAATTCTTTTGAAAGATGAAAACCTCGGACTACGCTGTGATTGATTAACTCCGGATGTCTCCCTCCCATCCGAAAGTGTCGGTAAATACGCTTAATGAGGCATATGTCCCGGTCGAGACCACGGTTGAACAATGGGAAAGAATGGCAGAATGATTTTTTGAAATCAACCGGATTTTATTCAGGAGAAATGATTTGCCTCCAAAAGGGGCTGACCACAACAAAGCTCTTCATTTGACCGTTAAGTATGAAGGAAACTACGTGAAAAGAGTTATGTTGGATGGCGGATCTGGGGTTGATATCTGCCCTCTGTCGACCTTACAGAGAATGGAAATTGGGACTGAAAGGATTTGACCCAACAATGTTTGTGTACGTGCTTTTGACGGCGTCAAGAGAGACACGATAGGGGAGATTGATTTGATCCTAACCATCGGCCCTGTGGATTTTGAAGTAACATTTCAGGTTTAAGACATGAGCACCTCCAACAATTTTCTCCTAGGAAGGCCTTGGATCCATGCTGCAGGAGTTGTACCTTCTACTCTCCACCAAATAAATAAGTTTGAACACGAAGACCAAGAAATCGTGGTCCATGGAGAAGATGAGAAATCAATCTACAAGGACCCGTCAGTTCCCTGTCTGGTGACTAATAAAGGTAGTGAGCACATAGTCTACCAAGCTTTTGATATCGTGGTCGCGGACCAGTGTAAGGAGGGAACCACGTGTCCTCAACCCTTCTTGTCAAACACGTCAATCATGGTCGCCACTGAAATGATCAAGCACGGGTACAAGCCTGGGTAAGGGCTCGGGGTATCTTTGCAAGGCATCACAGAGCCCATCACTCTAACTGCCAGTGAGAAATTCTTCGGTGTGGGTTTCCAAGCCACAGAAGCTGATGTAACATGGCTAATGAATGTAAGAACAATGATTGGGTCCTGCCTCAGCCGGTCCCGCATCTCTCCAAAATGTTTGTTTAGCCAAGATACATAGAGGAAGAAGATGAGGCCTTCATGGCCGATGAAATTGAGGACATTTATGGAGCAATGAGGTAAATGTTATATGAGGCTCATATGGTCTAGTCGGGTGAAGGCTGAAGCACTGCTGAGGTGCAATATATGGGGCCAAATGCCAAACTGCAAAATTGGACGGCTACTCCATTCCCAGTCAAGTATCCCGGTAGTTCAGTCTTGCCATCTTTTCTACATTTCGAGTTATTTCAGGGTATAACTCGAATGTTTTTAGTTTATTGTCTTTTTAATTCCAATGTAAACCCTCCTATCTTCAAATTCACTGAAATGAAATCAATATTTCATCGTCCATGAATCTCTTTCTTTATTCTTTCTTATTTTTGTTATGTTTTCTTATCTCTCTTTTCAGTTCTAATGATGCAAACTTAAATAACATGACATGCTTGTGGACTTCATGCCCAGATCTTAACACGCTATCTAACTGTGAAATAATGAATCAAGAACCGGAATATGATGAAGATGAGGCTTTTAAGGAAATAAATCGAGAACTGGAACTCGTGATCTGAGTGGTCCGATACACCACATGGTTGGCTAATATGGTCCCAGTGCCAAAGAAAGATGGGAAAACCCGAGTGTGTGTTGATTATCGGGATTTGAACAAAGCCAGCCCCAAGGACAACTTTCCATTTCCAAACATCCACATCCTTGTTGACAATTATGCCAAGCATGAGATATAGACTTTAGTGGATTGTTATGTTGGGTATCATCAGGTTTTGATGGATGAGGAAGACACAGAAAAGACGGCTTTCACCACACCTTGGGGTACTTACTGTTACAGGGTCATGCTGTTTGGTTTGAAGAACGCCGGGGCAAATTACATGAGAGCAATGACCGCCATTTTTCATGACATGATGCACCAGGAAATCAAGGTATATGTGGATGATGTGATCGTTAAATCCAGGATGGAGGATGACCATGTGCGAGATATGAGGAAGTTCTTTGAGCGCCTGCGTAAGTATGATTTGAAGTTTAATCCAGCTAAGTGTGCATTTGGAATGCCTTCTGGGAAACTATTGGGATTTATAGTCAGTCGGAGGGGCATCGAGTTAGATCCAATGAAGATAAAGTCTATCCGGTATTTGCCCGTCCAAAAATCAAAAAAAAAGGTTATGAGTCTGTTGGGAAGATTGAATTTCATTAGCAGGTTCATTGCTCAGCTGACTACCACATGTGAGCCCATATTTAAGCTATTGAAGAAAGATGCGGCGATTAGATGGACATATGAATGTCAATAAGCTTTCGACAAAATCAAAGAATATCTATCGACCTAACGATAAGCTGAAATCCTATTGATGATGAATATCAACCCTTGAGTACTTACTTTCCAGACGAGGAGGTAAGTTCAGTTAAGGTAATTCCAGAAGACACAGATGCTTGGAAAATGTTCTTTGATGGAGCTGTGAATGCAAAAGGTGTCGGGATTGGGGCAATTTTGATTTCGCCCACTGGTCAGCACTATCCAGCCACAACCCGGCTTTGGTTCTTCTGTACAAACAACATTGCTGAGTATGAAACTTGCATTATGGGTACGAACATGGCAGTTGACATGGATGTGGAAGAATTGTTAATCATGGGAGATTCAAACATGATTATTCGGCAAGCTCAAGGTGAATTGGAAAATCGGGACATCAAGCTTATCCCATACAGGCAACATGTGGATGATCTTAGCAAACGGTTCAAGTATGTTGAATTCTGGTACATCCCTCGGTTCCACATTGAGTTAGCTGATGCGTTAGCTACCTTGGCGGCAATGTTGCCGTATCCGGGTAATGTCCACATTGACCCACTGGAAATCCAAATCCGAGAAAGACATGGTTATTGCAATACAGTTTAAAGGGAACTAGATATTCAGCCATGGTATCATGATATCAAAAGATTCTTGAAAACAAAGGAAAATCCCGAACAAGGTAGTAGAGACCAAAAGAGAACCATTAGAAGGCTCGCCAGTAGTTTCTTCTTGAGTGGAGAAGTCTTGTATAAAAGAACTCCAGATCTGAACCTTTTAAGATGCGTGGATGCCCAAAAGGCCAGAAGAATCATGAATGAAGTGCACGCAGGAGTATGCGGACCCCATATGAACGGATACGTCCTTGCAAAGAAAATCCTTCGGGCAGGTTATTATTGGATGACCATGGAAAAGGATTGTTTCAGCTTTGTCCAAAAATATCATCTGTGCCAAGTACATGGTGATCTGATTCATGCACCACCTTTAGAATTACATCCTATGTCAGCACCATGGCCGTTCATTCCATGGGGTATGGATGTCATTGGGCCAATCGAGTCGAAAGCTTCAAATGGGCACATATTCATCTTATTTGCCATTGTCTATTTCGCAAAGTGGGTTGAAGCAGTCACTCTCAAAGCCGTCACCAAGAAAGCAGTGATGGACTTCGTGCATTCCAACATTATCTTTGTTTTGGTATTCCTAAAACTATCATTACGTACAATGCTGCAAATTTGAAAAGTCATGTGATGAGGGAGGTGTGCGAACAATTTAAGATCACGCATCAGAATTCTACCCCTTATCGGCCCAACGCTAATGGTGTTGTTGAAGCAACGAATAAAAATATCAAGAAGATCCTCAGAAAAATGATTCAATGTTCTAGACAATGGCATGAAAAGTTGCCTTTTGCATTATTGGGATACCGCACAACTGTGCGCACATCAGTTGGGGCAACACCCTATTTATTGGTTTATGGCACTGAAGCCCTAATACCCGTAGAAGTTGAAGTTCCATCTCTTCGAATCATTGTTGAAGCTGAGATTGAGGATAATGAATGGGTTAATACCCGTCTAGAACAGTTAACCCTGATTGATCAAAAGTGGATGGCCGCTGTTTGCCACGGGCAGTTGTATCAACAAAGAATGGCCCGCGCCTACAAAAAGAAAGTGCGGCCCAGAAACTTTGAGGTGGGACAACTTGTCTTGAGGCGTATTCTCCTGCATCATAAGGAAGCCAAAGGAAAATTCGCTCCGAATTGGAAATGTCCATACATTATAAGGAATTTATTGCCAAAAGGGGCATTGTACTTGGGAGACATTGAAGGAAATAACCCCGAAGCAACAGTCAATGCGGACGCGGTCAAAAGGTATTACGTTTAACTATTCTACATTGCTAAAATTCTCTGATTGGGATGACGAAGGCTTTCATTCTCGCTACCCAAACACTTTCACCCCTTTGCAAACCCTTTGAGCCGGTTACCTTTCTTTGATTACCCTCTTTGGAGTCGGAAAATGCTGCCAAAAAATCAACAAAAAAAGAAAGAAAACCAAAAACAAAAGTTTCCCTGAACTACGTTCGACTTGATTCCAAAAGGATACGTAGGTAGCCTCTCGCTGGGGTTCAGTCACACCAAAACAAAAATCCACATTTCCCCAAAGTTAAAACTGGGGCAGAAGTTATATTGGTTTGGCGATGGTACGCCTTAAAGGTTCCAAAGTTGTAATTCAATCCAAACTCTTTTACCCCAAATCCTGTTCAGGTTCTTCCGATCAATCGGTAATGATGTTCAAAATTGGAGGATATGGTTACTTGGATTTGATACAATCAAATGAGAGAAATAAAATGAGAGAGTCTTATTGGTGAAACCCCACACGGGCAATATTGGGCGATGGTAAGCAGAGAAATCCAAAATGAGAGATTCTTGTTAGTGAAAACTCGCAAAGAGCACTATAAGAAGACGGTGAGAAGAGAAATGAGAGAGGTCAGTTGGTTAAAACCCACAAAGGGCGACACTGATCGAAAAAGGATCCCTTACAACTATCGGTACTGATAAAGTCCGGGCAGGGTTTCTCGATTTTGAGGTATGGGTTATGATGGGCTTACAAGAATTGGATGGTTTGCGAAGATCGGGTATCCATGTCCAAGAAGCGTGTCATGTCTATTGAAGTCTGTATGCACTCCAGATAAGTCGTTCTTTCCTTTCCCCGAAAGGGACACTTATCATTAAAATTCATTATCCTGTCTGTTGTTTACTTTTCTTTGAATCCCTTTCGGTCCAATTCTCCTCCGAAACTAATACAAAGAAAGGATGAAAAGATTGGTTTTACAGGGTTTTGTTTGACAAAAGTTAATATTCAAGAAAGCACCCAGCCTTAGCAAGTGCATCAAGTCTGCCTCGACTGGCCATAATGGCCGATGCTCCAGCGTCAAAAACTCTTGAAAAGAAAGAAAATCAAAATCAAATGCTCGTAAACGCAAAGTAAGATGAAAAGGACAACTCCCACATGGGTTAGTCATCATGAGAAGCTTCGAAAGGTCAAGACTTCTTGGGTTTTGAAGATGAAACCGACTACCAGAAAGAGCAAGCAAGTACTCAAGATCCTTAGTGGAAGAGCAAGGCCAAGATCAAATGATTAAAACAATCAAGGCCACAAAACCAACCACCGTTTCAAACTAACAATTGTTCTTTGTTTGAAAACAGGAAACGGGTGCAACCAAAAAGCAACCTTGTAAGAAGCAGGTGCAACGAAAGGAAACCGCGCAGAGACTAAAATAGCTCTGCAGCAATAATCAATCCAAAAGGGAAGTCTCCTCCAAATTCTTTCCTGCATTCATTTTTTTAGATAAAAATGTTAAAATGAAATGAAAAGAAGAAGAAGAAAAATTCAAAATCATGGTAGCATAGGGTCTCCAATCACTAGCTACGTCTTTTCTAACATAGGGTCCCACTCCCTAGTCGATGCCAGCATAACCTGGTAATCTTTTCCAACATAGGGTCCCACTCCTTAGTTGATGCCAGCATAACCTGGTAATATTTTCAACTTAGGGCCTCCAATCCCAAGTTGATTTTATTTTAGATATGGGGTCCTCACTCCCTAATCTCTTTTTTTCACAAGGATACACAATCCTGATTTTACTGCTTTCAATAAAGAAGTAGTTTAATTTTTTGTTACAATAACTCACGAAATTTTCCTAGTGAAAAATGGGGAAGAAAAGTGTTCTTCCTTTGTTTGTTTTGGTGCCTGAGCAGGTTTTTACCTTGAGGCACAAGTTTTGAGACGACCAAAAGAAGATGTTTCGATTCAGAATAAAAGAAAAAGAACAAATGAAAAAAAGTGAAACAAAGTGCAGAGGCAGAATATATGTGGACTGCTCAAAACATGATTGAAGTCGCAAGCCTTGCAAGTCACCATTTTTGTTTCAAAAACTGAAGAAGAATGAACTAGCACCTGCAGCTAACAAGTATCAAGATTCAGATCAGAGTCCGCATCCAGTCAAGACTCAGGATCAAGCTCCAGAAGGTTTATAGATAGGAATCTTGTAACTCATAGCTGATAGGCTTAGCTAGTTTAGCTTTTCATTTTTCATTTTTGGTGTAATAAGGAGCTCAGCAAGCAGAAACAGCAGCAACAGTAGTGAAAGCACAGTTTCTAGGTAGTCTCACCTACCAAAACTTCCAAAACTATACTGACCTGATTCCTTTATAGCCAAGGATATGTAGGCAACCTTTGAAGCAAGGTTCGGTCAGACTTTTCCTAAAAAATGCTTCCCATGGAGTTTCAAACGGGCAAAAATCACTCGTAGTTGCTCATTTTATCTTTGCCCGAAAACTCTTCGTGTTTCCGAGCAAAGAGGGGCAGCTGTGAGCATGTGATTTTTGCCCTATTAGATTTACTCCTACAAAATTAAAGAAAAATAGTTGTTCCAAATTGTTTTCAAACTTTATAGGATTTTTGTAGGATTTTTATTAATTGTTTCCATTTTGTGCACGTTTAATTTTTGTTAAAAATCATGAAAATGTCCCAAAAAATATCAAATTATTATGAATTGCATACTAGATTGTTATGTTCCTATTTTAGGATAAATTTTTTAATTAATTGCATTATTAAAATGAAATCTCAAAAATGTCATTCATTTTTCTACATTTTAGTTCTAATTAACAATTCCCTTTTTATTAACTTAGGTTTAATTAATTAGTAATAGTACAAATAGATTAATTGATTAAATTTATAATTTAGGATAATCAGGATTAAATTAGGTTTTAATTAATTAAGTTAGGTTTTTAAAATTAAAGATAAAAAAGAAAAAGAAAGAAAAAAAAACAATAAAAGAAAAGAAAAAAGACGGATGCTTCTTTCAAAACTGGGCCAACCAGAGATCAAATCTGGTGGCCCAGTTCTTCTTAACACGGTCCAAACCTCTAATCCCAAAGACCCAACCTCACAGGTCCAAATCCCTCACCCCAAAACGACCTCGTTTCGCCCCATGTAATCCCAGCCGTTGATCCACACGAATCCAACGGTTGGGAACTGATCATTTAGCTTATAACTGTTCGAACCAAGCACCCCCTCCCCATAGACCCCTCTCATTTTCCATCTCTCACTCTCAAAGAACAAAACCCTAGCCACCCTAAATCCCCTCGTCGCCTCCGTCGTGGTCCGCCGACCAGAAATCGCCTCACGGCGGCGGACCACCTCCAAACTCCACCAAATCAACACCCCTTAACCGTCTTCACCCCCTCTTTCCAAATACCACCATATCTCCCTTCGAATCAGTCCCCAGCTTCTCGAATCTTAGATCTAAAATCCCCCCCCCCCCCGAAACCCTAATTATCCCTTCTTCGATTCTGGTTCAATATTAGGTCATGTGAACCCAAGATATCCATTGGTCGACTGTTCTTGTTAAGAACAGCCGATTGATGGTTGTCTAAGTTCCCATTCTCCACTTTTAACCGGTCAAATCCATATCTGGCTAGTTCAATATGAACCTGAGGTAGCTTCTTCTTCCTTTTTCTTTTGTTCTTTATTTTTTTTATTACTTCTGTCTCTTGTCCTTTTTCATGATTCGATTAGCCTGCTTGTCTTAGTTAAATCACAAGAAAATTAGGTTTGTTAATGTTTTTTGATTTTTGCATGTTTGTTCATATCAGTTAAAAGCATGTGGAAATTCATAGTTGTTTGAAGCGTAAACTCGATTGCATAAAGTTAGGATAATTATGTTTAAATTATTTAAGGTTTTGGCATAAATTTGACTGTTCTTTTCCTCTTTTGTGTTTTCTTTCCTACTTATATCCGTTTAGCTTGATACTCATTGTTTAGTTTGAAATTGATTAGAAAAATTTTAGGAATTCAATATATTTGGCCAAATCTCTGACTAATCATTAGAAAACCTTAGCCTTAGTTTAACCTATTTAATTACCAATTAACTAGGTTAATTTCTGGGTTTCTTTGCATTGGCATTTTTGTTCTTTAGTTACTGTTTGGCTCCAAGTTTAAAATTCAGTGTTTAGTCAAGATTAATTAGATAAACTTGTCATTTAGGTTTAATTGGTTAAAATTAGAACCTTAATACCTTAAACTTTAGATTAATTTCTGAAATAAAGGGTAAATACCCCGAGGCTTCAAATTGCAGCAAGCTTAAGAAACCCTAATCACTTAGCTGATTCTAGAACATCCTAAAGGGATTTCTAGAATCAAAATAGGATTAGAAGATAGATTGAAACTGAAATATTTAGTAAATGAAAGGGTAAAACTGGTTCTACATAAGGTAAAAATCAGAAGGTTATAGCATTTTGTACAACTGTCCCCATTTCCAGCATGAAAAATGCTGGAATTGGGCTGAAAAAAGGACAGACAGCTGTCCAATTATGCTGTACTATCTGACACTAGGGAATTTAGGGTAGAATATGCTATTTTGATGCCATTATAGCCTACCCAATAAAAGGAAAGTTATTCCTTCATTCTAGAGGTGGGGGTGGATCAGTATATCTTGACCCAAAAACTTCAGAATACAAATCGCTGAAAGCTTTTCTGGCCTTAGAAACTTCAGTTTTTTCTAGTGAGATTTCTAGGTTTTAGCTCATCTGGTACTCTGATTTTTCTGGAAATTTGAGTGATGTTTTCTTGGTTTTCTGGGCTTTTATTCTACTAGTGCTGCTTGTTCTTGGCTGTTGTTCCATCTCTAGATCTTCAGCTAGCAATCTCATTTGTTTTCTGCTGTTTTTCACTCTTTAAGGTATTGATTCTAGCTCTCCCTATGTAACTGCATTGTTTAAATGATTATAAAATGAAAAATTGCAAATTATGTGAATGTTCTTTTATATAGTAGTGGATTATCTTGTTATAAATCTATTTGATTTGTTGCTATGTCATCTTGAATG